GAGCCACCCGAGCGGGAGGCGGCGCCGGCGAGAGGACCAGGGCCCGCCGTGCCCCAGCCCGGCCGGCGGCGGGGACCCGCTGCATCGCCACCTCCCCCTGGACGGGCAGCCGCCCCGAGTGGCCTGGGCCGAGAGGCTGGTTCGCGGGCTGCGAGGTAAGACCGCGACCCGCAGCGGCTGAGGCACAAACCAAAACTGCCCGTGCCGGCCGCGGCCGTCGCCCCCGCGAGCAGCTTTCCCGGGTTCTCCCTCTCACCCCTGTCTGCGTCCCCGCCCCCCTCTGCAGCGCATTCCCCACCTCTGCTAATGATGCTCTATTTCCCGCGCCCAGCGCCGATTTCCATCGCGCCCTAGTTGCTGCGGATTGATTGGATACCTCTCTCTTTAGGATAAGTCCACATATTCCCTTTTACTTCTGAAAATAAGTGAAAGCCGTATTGTAGTGAAAAGGTACATCTGGGGATTGTTTTTCTTGGAGGGAAAAAAAATGAATATTACTTCTAGCAAAACCGATGATGGTTGTAACTGCATATTTGCTAATGTCACAAAATCAAAATGAAAATTGTATACTAGCACCCCTGGTCTTCCTCTGGTCTTGATGCTCCATTGTTCCCTCAGCCCGGTCTGGAAAGGGTGACAAACAGTACTGTGTTATCCAGGTTGTGGGAGGGATGTGGTTAGGTTGTCATTGATGATGTTGTTTTGGTGATGTTGTGTGTGGTTGTTTAGGGGAGTGGAAGCTGTTGAGAACACCACGAATAGAATAATGTCTGTGAAAACTGTTATTTGGCCATTTCTAATTCTAGGCATTTTTCTAAAACAGTTGCAAAGAAAAGGTTATATTGTTTTTTAAAAAAAAAAACCTTGGAAACTTGTTTTTAAATAACTAAATCAATGTTCTTTGAAATTCCAACAAAAGAGTGAAGTCACCAGATACCAGCTGATAACATTTGTCAGAGTTCAGTGCACCCAACTCTTCAAAAGGCAGGAGAGGAATTTTCAAGTTTGCCAGTGCCTGGTAAGACACTAATTTTCCAGTAGCAGATGGAATCCTGTTTTTACAAAGTTTTGTCAGAGACATCCTTGGAAAAGTACTGCATTTGCTTGTACCATCCAAATTATTTTAATGTTCAGCTTTAAGAGTTGCCATCCTCAGTTCTTTTGAAATGTTCCCTGTTTTTCCTTTTCTGTCAGTTATTGCACAAAAACTGTCCAGGTGTTGTCACAACAGTGTGATTAAGAGCAGGTCAGGCCTACACTCAAATGTCGGTTCTACCACTCATTGGCTATAGGACCTTGAACAAATTACTTAACCTTTCTGATCCCCAATTTTTGCATCTATTAGAAAAGAGATAATACTTAGTTCTTGACTTTTTGAGAGACTTAAATAAGACATGTAAAATGGGTGGCAAGTTTTTGCCATGTTGTGAGTGCTTCATAAAGATTATAAAAGTATACATTTTGGTACTTCTCTGACATAAATGCTTATATTTAATTTGATTCTGGGCATGGTGGCGAACAAATATCCTGTTTGGATAACCTGTGTGAGTAGATTAGTAAAACACTAATATTTCAGAAGGCTTAAAACTGAATTAAGGCAAATTATATATTATTGTTCACTATTTAAAATGAGTTTTTAAAAACATTCACTAAAGTGAGAGAGGAGTTTTTTATAAGGTAATAAATAATGGTAAGTCACATGATCCTTTTAGCTCAGTTTAAACATTTAATAACATACTTAACCTCGTTTGAATAAACTCAAGAATGGAATATAATGAAATGAAATATATATTTTTATATGAGTGTATATACAAATTATTATTTTTAAAGAAAAATCTAAGGGACTTACAATGAATAAGCTCATAGTCTAAAACCTCTATTCAAGCCATATCAATGACTAATTAATTGGAGAGCATACTTGGGGGAAATTTTTAATTATAGGAAAATTTTACATTTCACTTATTAATCTCTTTTATGAAGAAAAATAGCTGACATTCTTATCACTTATTAAATAAGCGACATTTATTAAGTATTTGGCCCCTACTGTAAATATAGCACTGTGCTAGCTGCTACAAAAAGAAGTAAACTAGAATAGCACATCACTATTTTCCTCTGGACAGAAACCCAGAAAAGTAAAATAAATAACCATGAACAAGTTGTGATTTTTTTTGCCTCTTCAGATACTAATGACAGAAATCTTACATGCAGTGTGTAAGCAGTGCCCTAGAACCAGAACAGGAAGTAACTTTTGCAATTTCTAAGGTAGGGGAGTGGTCAGAAGCTTCTCTGGAGGTTTCCCACCTTTGTGAATTTATACAACATGCCCAGGCTTCCTGAGTTTTAGCTCCTCATTCATAAATGAAGGAGTTGAACTGAAGCTCCAAGGTTCCTTCTAGCCTCAACGTGCTCTGGGTTGTTGTTTAATGACATGAATCCAAAAGGGAGAAAAAAAGGTCATTTTTGCTGCTTGGATGGTAGATAAATCTATCTTCTTAGCAGAAGTAAGTACTATCTAACAAGAAATGTTTGAGGCTTGGTTGTGGGATGAATTGTTTCTAACCAAGGCATTAAGAATGTATCTCTAAGTATTAGGAAGCAATTGCAAGTTGAGCAGGAGCAGAACCTGCCAAAAGGGAGTGTGAGTCAGCAGTGTGGCGTGCAGGAGAGCTGGCAGAGGGAGACTCAGGCAGGAAGACCCAGCAGGAGGCAGCCAGTGAGGAGGTGATCAGGCCTGGACCAAAGGAAGCGAAGGATGGTGGCAAGATTTAGACAGTGCCCCAGACTTAATGGTATCCCCAGCTCTCTTGTTTACTCTTAGCAAACTTGTATTAAGTGCAGAGATAAAATGTGGCACTCTACTTGAGTTACCAAATTTTCTGAATTTCTGAAGTTGAAAGTTTCATGGATGTATCACCTTGTTAAAGTTGGTTCCAGTTTGTTATTTTAGACATATATTCTTGGGCTTTTTTTTTTTTTTTTTCCTGGAGAAACCGCAAAGTACTAGCTGTATTGGTGAGGGTGGGCCAAGTGCCCTGAAGATTAAGAAATTCATTTCTTGCTCATGTAACATTTCAAAGAGGGTATTCGGGTTAGTAGCAGCTCTCCTCCTTGTGATTATTCGGGGAATAACCCAGGCTCCTTCCCTGGTGTGGCTTTCCTGGGGCCCTATCCTCTGCATGGTCGAGGCTGAATGGCCACATGCAGGTTCTGGTGGGAAGGCTTGTCTCTACTAAAGGCCTTCTCCTGGAAATGGCCCACATCACTTCCACTCATGCTTGCTCTGTTGGCAGAGTTCTTAATCACACATCCAAGGATACGTGCAAGGGAGGCTGGAAAATGTAATGTAGCCATGTATCCAAGAGAGGAGAAATGGATTTTGGTAGATAACCAGCAATCTCTGCCACGTTAGTGCTAGAGCTCAAATGAAATAGTAGGTCTACTCTTATTTTTCCTAAAATAATGAGACCTTGACATTGAAATTGGTGTGCTGTTTGTTTTTGATAAGTGACCTCCAACACAGACTTTATTTAACTTGTATTTTTCCTCCCTTCCCTTTTGACATCTAAAGGGGAGCATAAGCATATTCAGTTATTGGAAAGGTTATTGAGACTTGGAAAAGATCTGAACTTGGCCGTAGTTGATGGCACCACACAGAAACTGCCAACCCACCACTTTCAGTAGCAGCTCATGATAGTCCACACACAGTGACTGATTAATTTAGCCTGTTCTGAGGCTTCAGAATTCAGTCTTATTTCATCACCAGCAGAACATTATCCTAAAGTAGAGGTCTTTCAACCAAGGTGGGGGGAGGGGGGCGTTTTGCCCTCAGGGAACATTTGGCAATATCTGGAGACATTTTTTTTTTACAACTGGGGGAGCAGGGGTTGCTCCTGGCATCTGCTGGGGAGAAATCAAGGATGTTACTAAACATATACAATGCACAGCACAGCCCCCCACACACACTACAAGGCATTATCTGACCCAAAATGCCAGTAGTGCAGAGGTTTAAAAGCTTGCCTAGTCTCAGTTCCAGGTGTGGTGTTAAAAAAGAAACACAAACAAACAAAAACTTTTCCAAGACTTAAATTGAATAAGAAATAATTTATTGCTCACTGTGTGCCAGGCACTGTGTTAAACTCTTTATGTACATAGATTCATTTTCTCCTCCCAACACCCCTGTGAGGTGAGAAGTACCATCATTACCATTTTATGGATGGAAGAAACTATGGCTTTTAGAGTTTAAATGACTTGCCCAGGTTCACACTGTTAAATGTTGGAATTAGGATTTAATTCCAGGCATTTGAGCCCAAAGACATTCTTTTCCACTATGCCATATACCTGTAGTGCCCAAACCTAACTTTAGCCAGCAATTTTTTGCATTTTTCTTACTTTGTAAATATTTATTCATCATATCAACTTAGTCTATGTATAGGGAGTAGAAGAGCTTGCCTTTCCTATTTACATATTTTTAATTGTGGCAAACTATGTATAACATAAAATTTACCATTTTAACCTTTTTTTTTTAAGGCTAGTCAACATTTTAACCATTTTTAAGTGTACAGCTCAGTGGCATTGTGTGTTCATTCATGTTATGTGAATGTGCTTAACATTTATGATTTATTTCCCGAACTTTTTCATCATCTCAAACAGAAACTCTGAACTCATTAAACAATAACTCCCCACTCCTGGCTTGCCTCAGCCCCTCCTAACCTCTATTCTACTTTCTGTGTCTATGAATTTCCCTATTCATACCTGATATAAGAGAAATCAGACAATATTTGTCCTTTTGTGTCTGGCTTTTTTCACTTAGCCTAATGTTTTCAAGGTTCATCCATATTGTATTATATTTCCAAACTTTATGACTTTTTATAACTGAGTATTTCATTGTATATATATGCCACATTTTGTTTATTCATTCGTTTATAGACATATGGGTTTTTCCCACCTTTTGGCTAATGTGACTTTTTTACTCCATCACTTCTTTTAACTTTTTTATTTGTACCATAATCTTGAACAAATGAGATTTTGTATTTTCATTACTGGGGTTTCTTTGTTTGTTTGTTTTGAAGGATTGCTACCGTTTGGGAAACAATTGTATGTAAGTAATTGCAATGCCACGTCCCGGGGATGGGAGGCACCCAAAGAAGAGAGAGGA